AAACTTTCCAAAATTATACGGGCAAGCAAAACTTTTTAAACCGTTTTGTTTTTTTTCCAAATGCCTCATGTACATTTTGCAGTGATATCCTGCCAGGCTGCTGTAACATTCATGATGCAAGTGGAGGTTATTGTAGGCTTCCCCAAAGTCACACAATGCTCCTCCCTCAGCTATGGCAAGCGTTGCACTCAAAATTGTAGGTTTTGAATGTGGCAGTGGCTCCCTGGTTTATAAGCTGAAGGAGAGAGGTGGAGTTTTGGGTAGAAATAAACTACCTACGTATGTGGGTGGAGATGTTGCCAAAATGCAGGGGTATCAACTGTCTGACCAGTGAACTCAATATTAAGGAATTTTCAAGGCTTTGGAGGGCTATAAAACATATTGAACACACATCTCGGAACTGAAGAAACAAAACCAGCTCTAGTTTTCCCACGCAAAAAATTGCCTAGATAACATTAAGCTTCCCTTACCCTCACCCATTGGGTGCTCACACTGTCTAATCATAGAACTTAGGCTTCTAATGGGAATGGTCCATTTCCCTGACCCCTCCTCCCTTTTCTATGGCAAGTTGATTAGCAATTGGAGTTAGCAGGTCTCATAGTGATTCAATCTTGACAAGGGGATGTCCTAGGAAGGACAGGATAGCACTATTCCAGTATTTGAGGGGCTGCCACAAAGAGGAGAGGGTCTACCTATTTTTCCAAAGCGCCTGAAGGCCAGACAAAGAATGACAGATGGAAACCGATCAAGGAGAAATACTACAACAGAAATAAGGAGACATTTTCTGACAGAACAATCAACTGATGGAACAGAAGTTGTCTTCAGATGTTGTGGGAGCTTCATCACTGGAGGTTTTCAAGAAGAGACTGGACTGCCATCTGTCAAAAATGGTGTAGGGTCTCCTGCTTAAGCAGGGGGGGTTGGACTAGATGACCCATAAGGTCCCTTCCAACTCTATTATTCTATTTTGTTCTATTCTATCTGGGTCAAAAACAGTTAACTGTGACAGGGAGCTTTGAGTTCCAGTGGACGATCACTTAAACACGAGCCAGCCGTGTGTGGCAGCAGCCCAAAAAGCTAATACAATCCTCATTTGTATAAACAGAGGCATAGAATCAAAAATCATGTGAAGTATTAGTACCACTTTATAAAGGCTTAGTAAGGCCACATCTGGAATACTGCATCCAGTTTTGGTCACTGTAGCACAAAAAAGAAACGATTTGAGATTTTGGCAAAAGTGCGAAGAAGAGCAACTAAGATGATTAAAGGCCTGGAGACCAGTACTGCTTTCCCCATTATTATAAGGGATTCTTGCTCACATTAGTAGATATAATAGTCTTTTCTTCTTCTTTACTTTCTCTTTTACCACTTCAAGTGTCATGGGAGATATGAAGTTCTGTTTCTTGAACTTCTGATAACCATTGTTATTTGATGCTGTTGTAGCATGTCTTTGATATTATCTATCTTCTGAGCCTGCCTCATGTTCTTTGGCCTTCTTCTTTTTTGTGTAAGCCTTATATGGTATAGAATCCCAAGATTTTCTCTCCAGGTGAACAAACCACTTAACTTGCTGTTTTTGCATATAGTTTAAGACGGTTCTATTTCAATTATTTCTCTAATAATTTTTTATTTTATCTCTCCTTGTCACTCCGGCAGTTTTCTTCACATCTCATTTCTGTGGTGACTAACTTTCACTAATTATTTATTGCAACTGTCCATATTTAGAATAGAATAGAATAACAAGAGTTGGAAGGGACCTTGGAGGTCTTCTAGTCCAGCCCCCTGCTCAGGCAGGAAACCAAATAATATTTCAGACAAAATATTTGACACTGGTAATATAGAGTGGGGATGAATATGCTTTATATGAGATGCTTCTTTGTGATGCCTTAGTGCATCTCTGCATCCATTTTTCCGTGAATGTCATCCCTACATATTCTGATACTCGTTTTATCCTTGCCCCCTCTATTACCAAGTTTAAGGTGTGCTTTTTTCACATAGTAATAGATACAATAATCATCTGAATGAAATAATAATAATAATAATAATAATAATAATAATAATAATAATAATAATAATAATAATAATAATAATAATAATAATAATAATAATGATAAAGTTGGAAGGGACCTTGGAGGTCATCTAGTGCAACCCCCTGCTCAGGCAGGAAACCCTATACCATTTCAGACAAATGGCTGTCCAGTTTCTTCTTAAAAACGTCCAGTGTTGGCGCATTCACCGCTTCTGGAGGCAGGTTGTTCCACTGGTTAATTCTTCTAACTGTCAGGAAGTTTCTCCTTAGTTCTAGGTTGCTTCTCTCTTTGGTTAAATTCTCCCACTCCCATCCACTTTAATTTACTGAGTCCCAAGATACTGATGTTCGATCTCACCATCTCATGTTTGATCACATCCAGCTTACCTTGATTCATAGATCTTACATTCTACTTCTGCTGACTGCCGTCTGCCAGCAGTTCAGCAGTTCGATTCTCACTGGCTCAAGGTTGACTCAGCCTTCCATCCTTCCGAGGTCGGTAAAATGAGGACCCAGATTGTTGGGGGCAATATGCTGACTCTATAAACCACTTAGAGAGGACTTTAAAGCACTGTGAAGCGGTATATAAGTCTAAGTGCTATTGCTATTGCTATTCTAGGTTCCTATGCAATATTGTCCTTCACACCATTGGACTTTCCTTTCTCCCACCCCCACCTCCGACACACCCACAGCTAAACCAGAAAATGGGAATGAAGGGTTCCCCGCATCTCCTGCTTCCTGGGGATTCTGGACTTTTTCCTGGAGCAAAAAGAATTCTGGAGCTCTGCTTTCCCCCTTTCAGGATTCAGGGAACCTGAAGGAATTTTTGCCTTCGCGTTTTAATTCCCCATGCAAACCCCCTTTGTTTTCCTTCCCACAATTGGACAGTCATGTCGGAACCTCCCTCTTTGCAAAACTTTCCCTGCAACCTCACTGACTTCAGCAGTGCTGAAAGGGTTATCACAAGTGAGCACAAAGTCCTAGAAAGGTAAGTGATGTCATACATTCCTGGGCATCCTCTGGATGAGCCAAGGGAGCATCAATATGCTTTCCAGGAAACAAATGCTCAGGCGCATTGCTTTCCTTTGGCAAGTTTATAGAGGTTGCCCCCTGCTGGATTCTGCATGTGATGCAGGTGACCTGCAATGGAAAGGGGAGAGATTTTTCTTGTAGGCGAAGTTGGAATAGATCAGTGGTGGCGAACCTATGACACGCGTGCCAGAGACGGCACTCAGAGCCCTCTCTGTGGGCACGCGCACCATGCCCCGGTAATGGCAACCGTCCCTCTTCAACCAGCTGCCCGCTAACTCGCCGAGGTCCACGTGGCTGGGTGCATCCCAGCACCCATGTGCTCGCTGGCCTCTATGTGCAGGGGCCGATGGTGTCAGGCAGCAGCCGCCCCGGCCCCTGCTTCGCCTTGCCCTACAACAATGTCTACCCCACCCTTCCTCGCCTTGCCTTGCCTCACCCTGCAGGACGAGCCTCCTGCCCACCGCCCCACCTGCCAGAGACCCCCTGGATTTCCCCCAACCCTGCCTAGCCCCCACAGGTGTCCCTCCCCACAAGCAAAATTGAGGTGATCACGGCCACTTTGGCCACACCCACCCAGTCTGCCATGAGCACCACAGCCACGCCCACCCAGTGGGCCCCGCCCACCTGGCACCCGGTGATAAATAAGTGGGTTTGGGGCTGCAGTTTGGGCACTCGGTCTCTAAAAGGTTCGCCATCACTGGAATAGATTATATGGGAATAGAAGGGAAGTTTACCAGTATTGTTCAGAGTAGAAAGCAGAAGATGCAGGAAAAAAATAACCCAAGTTTGAAGAAATGATCTGTTCTTGGATGTAAAAGAAAGCAGAGATGACATCACAGCAAAGAACAAAAAAAAAAGGAAATGCCCATAAAACAGCAACCAAACAAAAAGTTACTTTTTAAAAAAAAGGCATATCGCAAAGCTACAAAAATAAAAACTAAGAATATAGTGGTGACAGTTGTCGGAAGCCCATTCATTTCAGGCTATTCCTTTCATCTGTCAGTATTGCTTTTGAGTTTGGCGATTATTTTTTAAACTGCCTCTTGTGCAAATTTAATGTGATAAAAATACTGATGATACCAAACAAACCAGTGGTTTTTATCCAGTTTGAGCAGCAACCGTGGCTGAGTGCTCTTTGAGAAAACGCTTTCAAGCCAACCCCAACTCCAAAACCTTCAGGTTCCCAATGGCTTTCCAAAAATTATTCATATTATTTATTTACAATATTTATCAGATCTCTAGTTTTCCAATGTGACTAAACTGAGAGATAATTAAGTACTGACCAGAAATTAATCCTAACAAGTGTCTGTCCCAAATATGCTTTTTCATGAGGCAACTGGACTTCCTTGTTTTTCTTTGAAGACATTTCACTTCTCATCCAAGCTTCTTCAGCTCTGACTGGTTGGTGGAAAATGGAAGGATTTGTATTCCTTGCAGACAGCTGGTCATTTGCATTCTTTTATTGCATTCTTCAACAGTGAAGGGACACCGGCAGAAAACATCCTGCAGCCAAGGCAGCTCCACACACATTTACACTACTCAGGTGGGCTCAACAACTCTCTAAAAGAATGCAAATAACCAGCTGTCTGCAAGGAATATAAATCCTTCCATTCCCCACCATCCAGTCAGAGCTGAAGAAGCTTCTTGGATGAGAAACAAAACATTTTAAAGAAAAGCAAGAAAGTCCAGTTGCCTCCTGAACAACTATGACCTGGATGACTGAGAAACTCCATAGACATGTAACAAGTGTCTTTGACTATTTTAGTATTATTTTAACATGTCGTTTTTGTTCTGGCTCTTGTCACACTACAGAAAGGCAGAAACAGCCCTACTGCTCTAAAGAAAGGACTTTTGCATATGCATGTATAGGATATCTGAATTCTATAAAATCTTCCTGAAGCAATTTCCACACTCCAAACGTTTATTTGGTTCCTCTCCAGGGTGGATTCCTGGGGCAAAAAATAAAAAAGACATTGTTGACTAAAATTGTTTCTTGCTATCTGTCTTCATTCTGGTTGCCTCCAGCCTCAGTTTCACTCTCTTTGATTTTTGTTCCGCACAAAAATAACTGCAAAAGGCAATTCTCTTCTTGTTCTTCTGTGATCTTATCAGATCAGTAGAAACTTCTGGGCCACATCTTCAGAATGTCTGTCAATGTTCTTTGAAAAGTTATCCCTTCTTTCCATTTTCTCTATTTTGATTCCCCAGGACTTCCAAATCTCTCTTATTTATTTAATTGAATTTTTACCCCGCCCTTCTCCTTGCGGACTCAGGGCGGCTTCTCTCATTTCATGTTTCGCTATTTGCGATGTCAACCAGCTTGACTTCTTTTTGTTCTCATTCTCCTGCATGTCTCTTACTTGGGACAAAAAGAAAAAAAAACTCATTAGAAATGTAAGGCACAAACTACAAAGAGACCATATATGAGATTCAATGTATGAGCGCACCATTTCAATTAATGGAAATAGGACACAATTCCAAATTTATCCAAAGATGAATAAAATGGCGGTTCTACTGGTTTTTGAAGCAAAACGGGACATTCCAAGCATCTTCAACTCCAAACTTCTGGAAAAAAAGGATTTTCTCTTATTGATATGCCACATGGTTGGAACTGTAAAATGATAAAATGTTTTTTTAAAAAGGGCACCCATAACTGTGTGATATATGTTTTCTGGAAATCCATTCATACTCCTGCACCATGTGCAGGATATCTCACATTTAGCTATGCGCTTTGGGATGAACACCCTTCAAATGGTGTGGGAGTATGAACGGATTTCCAGGAAACATTGTAGACTACAGGAACTCTTTGTGCTTCACTTTGAGATGCAGACAACACAGACTCATCCCCAACAACCTGTCTTCAACAGTGAAGGGACCCAGGGCAGAAAACATCCTGCAGCCAAGAAGGTTCCACACCCATTTGCACTACTCAAGTGACCCTGAGGGCAGAGGTAAACCTCCAAATGGCATCAATGACTCTCTTAAGGAATGCAAATGACCAGCTGTCTGCAAGGAGTATAAATCCTTCCACTCCCCACCATCTAGTCAGAGCTGAAGAAACCTCTTGGATGAGAAGTGAAAGGTTTTCAAAGAAAAACAAGAAAGTCCAGTTGCCTCCTGAAAAATAACGGGACCCGTTATTACGGAAGCTGTCAAGGCTGCTAACATCAGATGTTCTTGCTCGCCAATATATGAAGAAGCAGATATGTTTTATTTAGCCTGTGTATCACTTCTAGAGTTAAAGTCAGACAATGTTAGAAGAGAGGGGGGGAAATATGTACTGGGGGATAGTTAGCCATAACAATATTTCAGTACAGTATTTCCAAGGTCAGGTGTAACCAGAGGAGAGATGGGAGGGAAAGTTCACACTTCAAACTAATTGGAGAACGTGATTGATGACTGTTAAATGAAGGAGTGAGTTATGCTTTGTTACGGGTGATTGGGGGAGGGAGAATTCAGTTTTTGGCTACATTATGCCAAAGCTATGTAGCAATAAAAGGATTCTTTAAGGTAAACAAAGCCTTAAAGTTCTTTGAAAAGCTTCTTCTTTCGGAACCATGACAGCACCTTTGGGACAACCATGACCTGGAGGACTGAGAATCTCCACAGACAAAAGAAACAAGCAATTTTGATTGTACTTTTTTGACTATACCTTTTGGACACTCACATAGTTTTCAATCAGAACTTCGCAGTGAGAAAAGTACCTTTTCAGGAAAATACATTATATATTCAGGGATCAAGTAAATAGATTCATACCTAAATGGATCCTCATATGGGATGTAAGATTACTGCTGGTCGTGAAGCTCTTTCCACACTCCATGCATTTATATGGCCTCTCCCCTGTGTGGATTCTTTTATGGGAGGTAAACGACCCATTTTCACGGAACCTCTTTCCACATTCCAAGCATTTATATGGCTTCTCCCCCGTGTGGATCCTTTTATGAATAGTAAGAGAAGTGTTTTCACGGAAACTTTTTCCACACTCGAGGCATTTATGTGGCTTTTCTCCTGTGTGGATTGTTTTATGGGAAGCAAAATGACTGCCCCGGCTGAAGCTTTTTCCACACTCCATGCATGTATACGGTTTCTCTCCAGTGTGGATCCTTTCATGAAGAGTGAGGGACCCGTTATTACGGAAGCTCTTTCCACATTTCCTGCACTTGTATGGTTTCTCCCCCGTGTGGATCCTTTTATGAGAGGTAAGTTGAATCTTTTGAGTAAAGCTCTTTCCGCACTCTTTACATTCATACGGCTTCTCCCCCGTGTGAATCCTTATATGGGATGTGAGTTGAATATTTTGAGTGAAACTCTTCCCACACTCTGTACATTTGTACGGTTTCTCCCCAGTGTGGATTCTTTTGTGACAGGCAAGGTTGCTGCTTGTATTGAAGCTTTTGCCACACTCGGTGCATTTGTATGGCTTCTCCCCGGTATGGATCATTTTGTGAGAAGTAAGTTGAATGTTCTGCGTAAAGCTCTTCCCACATTCCGTACACTTATATGGCTTTTCCCCTGTGTGGATCCTTTTGTGGTAGGTAAGCGAACTGCTCATGCTGAAGCTCTTCCCACATTCCTTGCAGTTATACGGTTTTTCCCCTGTGTGGATCCTCTTGTGGAAAGTAAGGGAACTGCTCTCACTGAAGGTCTTCCCACATTCCATGCATTTATATGGTCTCTCTCCTGTGTGGATTCTTTGATGGGAAGTTAGCTGAGTGCTCCACCGGAAGCTCTTCCCACACTCCATGCATGTATATGGCTTTTCCCCTGTATGGATTCTCTGGTGCGAAATCAATTGAATATTTTGGGTAAAGCTCTTTCCGCACTCCTCACACTTATATGGTTTCTCCCCTGTGTGAATCATTCTATGGGAGTTAAGATTGACCTTCTGAGTGAAGCTCTTTCCACACTCGTCACATTGATAAGGTTTCTCCTCGGTGTGGATTTTTTTGTGGGAATTGAGATTACCACGCTGGCTGAAACTCTTTCCACATTCCATGCATTTGTACGGTTTTTCCCCCGAGTCAGTCCTTTCACTGGGAACAAGAGAAGTGCTCCCGCTGAAATGCTTTCCGTTCTCTGTATTTTTATATGCTTTATTTCTCATTTTGCCTTCGCCACATAAAGAAAGGCCCGACGTCCAACTGTAGCTTTTTTCAACCTCTTGGCATAGATCCTCTTCTTTAATGTGAATTGTGTAACGTTCATATAAATCTAAGCTCTCTTCAAATGCTTCCCCGTTTTCCACTTTTAGTTTTTCTTTCTGATCTCCTTCAGGAAGAAAGTCTTGAATTTCAATGGATGGGAAAGTTGAGTTCCTCTTACTCCCGTCTTTTGACAGATTTCTTTCGTTTTCTGTTGTTTCCGTGGGGTATGAAAACTCCTCTCTTCTCTCTTCATCCCTGAACATTTGGAAGGCTTCCTTGTTCTCTTGAACATTATTTCCTTAAGAGAAAAAAGAATGAACGGAAATTGAGGCAAGGTAGAGGAAGCAAAGTAATAATTCATAACACAGTAAAATGTGAATTTCCTAATGAAAATCTGCCAAGGATTCTCCACTGTTTTGAAAGGTGTCCTGCTGACCAACATTAAATACTCTGATCAAAGCCTTACAAAAGTTGGACTTTGAGTGACAGGTCATTATAACGGTCATATAAGAAAACTGCACAGTATAATGATAAAACACTTCTATTTTATGAGCTTCTTAAACTGTCACAAAATCCATTTGTGCCTAAGCAGGGGGTTAGACTAGAAGACCTCCAAGGTCCCTTCCAACTGTCTATTCTATTCTATTCTATTCTATTTTCTATTTTCTATATTTTCTATTTTCTATTTTCTATTTTCTATTTTCTATTTTCTATTTTCTATTTTCTATTTTCTATTTTCTATTATTTTCTATTTTCTATTTTCTATTTTCTATTCTATTCTATTCTATTCTAAATAAAGGAGTATACCTTTATGCAGCGGTGGGATTCAGCCGGTTCGCACCAGTTCAGCAGAACCAGTAGTTAATTTTTGGTTGCCCAGGCCCAGAATGGATTTCCAGAAGCGGCATCCACATAGAGAATCGGTTGTTCACATATTTGAATCCCACCACTGCCTTTAGACTGTTACATCTTTTATTCGATAAATTAATTTTACTTACGGAATTCTACTCACAGTTGGAATTCCATTTAAGAAAGTGAGGAATCAGGGAAAAGAAGTTTGTAACATTTATTGCCAAGGTGAAGAAGTGGGAGAATGAGAGCAAGGAGTTGTGTTACCTACATCTGATTATTATTTTTTTTTTTTGCTTATCTTGAAATATTTGCTATTAACTGAGAAAAGAACAAGTTTACGGTGAAAAGAGGGAGGAATTTGAGGTACACAGACAGCAGTCAGCACAGTAATAACATTTACATCTAGTATCACTAAATGACTTTTTTCCAACTGTCAGATGACAGATCCCCTCCTTTTCTTAGCCAGGTTAAGATAATTTTGTGAACTTTTGAAAAGAGAGAAACAAGTGGCTCTATTTCTTCATAAATGTTTTTTCTAAGCATCTGAGGACAGGACAGGGGGCCTTACCCAAAAAGGCCACATTTGTGGAGTTCTCCAGCATGACTTCTCTGTGCAGGTCTTTCTGAACAGGATCTAGCCGAGACCATTCCTCCTCAGAGAAACACACAGACACCTCTTCTAAAGAGACAAGAACCTGCAAAAAAAAAAAAAAAAAAGCGTACCCCTATGAGCAACCAAATTTAATTTAATTTTATTTTTATTATTTTATTTATTTATTTTTATTATTATTTATTTATTTATGATTAAAGGCCTGGAGACTAAAACATATGAAGAACGGTCGCAGGATTTGGGTTTGGCTAATCTAAAGAAAAGAAGGACTAGGGAGGGACATGATAGCAGTATTCCAGTATTTGTGAGGTGGCCGCAAAGAAGAGGGAGTCAACCTATTCTACAAAGCACCTGAAGGCAGGAAAAAGGAGCAATGGATGGAAACTAATCAAGGCAGACATGTCAAACACAAGGCCCGGGGGCCGGATGCGGCCCGCGAAGAGGTTTCATGTGGCCCGCGAAGCCATCCTGGAAACAGTGAGGGAACGGCCCCTGCTACCTTGGCCCTGGGCCAGGCCGGCCGGGAGCCAATGTACAATTTTGTGGTGGCCATCTATGCTGAAACGCATTCAGTCTTAGCTCCACAAGGCCGTCTGGAAACAGCGAGGAACCAGCCCCTGCCATGTCGGCCCCGTCCCCTGGGTGCATGCTGGGGAGGTGTCACCCTTTGTGAGGAATGAAGAAATGCACCATGCTTTGGCGCTTGCCCCGGTCCCACCCCCTTCTGCCAGAGACCCTCAGATCTGCCCCACTCCTGCCCAGGCCCCCACAGGCACCCTTGACGCAAACGATGTAGAGCTGGCCACTGAGTAGACCACACCCACTCCATCCACGCCCACCCAGTAGGCCGCATCCACCCTGGCCACACACACACCCCGAGGGCAACCGCAGTGCTGATGCGGCCCTCAATGAAATTGAGTTTTGACACCCCTGAATCAAGGAGACGAGCAACCTGGAATTAAGGAGAAGCTTCCTAATGGTGAGAACGATTCATCAGCGGAACAGCTTGCCTTCAGAAGTTGTGGGTGCTCCAACACCGGAGGTTTTAAGAAGAGACCGGACAGCCACCGGTATAGGGTGTCCTGCTTGAGCAGGGGGCTGGACTAGAAGACCTCCAAGGTCCCTTCCAGCTCTATTCTGATTCTGATTCTATGAGAATACTTTCCTTTTGATTCAGGAATCCCGAAGCAAAGGTTTGCAGTGGGTTAAATGGACACCTTCTACGGGGGTAAAACTCTGATGTGAAAAAAAAAACCTGTCAAGAGTTCACAGCATTTGAGGGAAGCAAGATTTGTGGATGAAGCTAATTATCTAAGGCAGTGGTGGAGAACCTATGGCACGGATGCCAGAGGCAGCACTTAGAGCCCTCTCTGTGGGCACTTGCACTGTTGCCCCAGTCCTAGGCCTTCAGCTGGGTTTTATAAAACCTTTTTGCTTTAGGCCTCCACCGCCGTGTGCAAAAAAAAAAAAAAAGGTTCAATCAATCAGTCGATTTCAACTTCTCGTGGGAAAAAAAAGATCTCGCAAAGTTGGAATTGAGTGATTGAACTTTTTAGTCCCACCCAGTCTGCCGTTACCACCGCAACCACGCCCACCCAATGGGCCACATCCACCCGGCACCCGACGATGCATAAGTGGGTTTTGGGTTGCAGTTTGGGCACTCGGTCTCTAAAAGGTTCGCCATCACTGATCTAAGGAAAGGGAGTCTTTAGATCTGTTTCAGTCAAGCTTTGGTTTGTACAGTCCAGACCTGGAGACATTTACAGATAGGCCTTGACTTACAAGGTACAGCCTGCCTGAAAAAGGGGACCTACTGCCCACGTTTAAAGTTCTGAGGCTCACGACTCCACCACCACATGGTCACATGACCAGGCTTTGGGCCCACAGCAACATGGCTGCATTTACTGCCATTTGCCGCATCCCGCAATCATGTGACCACGGTTCGGGATGGTTTTTACCAAAAACCAGCACTAACTTCAGTTTTCGACAAAACTACACTCAGAGCAAACAATGGGTTCACCCTTATGACCATTGCAACCCACTTAAAAACCAGGCGTTTGCTCTTGTATAAATGCAGTTATTTGCTTAACAGCCCCCCCCCCACAAAATGTCATAAATTCTCCATTTTTGGTTTCTCGAATCCCCAAAGGCTTGCAGTGGATTAAAATAGGCATGCTCTGCAGCACGTCTATGGAGATTCTCAGTCATCCACCTCATGGTTGTCCCAAAGGTGCTTTTTCAAAAGGCAACTGGACTTTTATTTTTTTTCCTCGAAGACGTTTCGCTTCTCATCCAAGACGTTGGGTGAAGAACTGAGCTGAAAAAGCTCCTTGGCTGAGAAGTGAAATGTCTTCAAGAGAAAAAAAAATCCAAGTCCAGTCGCATTTTGGACATGCTCTGCAGGGTTAAAAATCTGATGTGAAAAAAAAAAACAGAGTTCACAGCATTTGACTGATGTAACATTTGTGAATAATAATAATAATAATAATAATAATAATAATAATAATAATAATAATAATAATAATAATAATAATAATAATAATAATAATAATAATAATAATAATAAAGTTGGAAGGGACCTTGGAGGTCATCTAGTAGTCCAACCCCCTGCTCAGGCAAAAAACCCTATACCATTTCAGACAAATGGCTGTCCAGTCTCTTCTTAAAAACTTCCAGTGTTGGAGCATTCACCACTTCTAGAGGCAGGTTGTTCCACTGGTTAATTGTTCCATCAGAAAGTTTCTCCTTAGTTCTAGGTTGCTTCTCTCCTTGATTAGTTTCCATCCGTTGCTTCTTATCCTGCCTTCAGGCGCCTTGGAAAATAACTTGACTCCCTCTTCTTTGTGGCAGCCCCTGAGATATTGGAACACTGCTATTATGTCCCCCCTCGTCCTTCTCTTCATTAAACTAGACATACCCAATTCCAGCAGCCTTTCCTTATATGCTTTAGCCTCCAGTCCCCTAATCATCTTTGTTGCTCTTCTCTGTAGTCTTTCTAGAGTCTCAACATCTTTTTTACATCGTAAAAAAGGCATTGTAAAGTGGTATTAATACTTCACGTGATCTTGATTCTATCCCTCTGTTAATGAAGCCCAGCACTGTGTTGGCCTTTTTGGCAGCTGCAGCACACTGCTGGCTCATATTTAAGTGATTGTCCACTAGGACTTCGAGGTCCTATCTGAGGAAACAGATTATCTAGATCGGTTTCAGGCTGCAGCCATTCAGATCTGGAAGATATTTCATCTCTAATCTTGGATGAGGTGGTACATCCCCTTTCAAGGTTGGTGCATAATCTGACTCTTGCTCAATGACCAGAAAGGACTTGGCAGAACCTCAACTGGTGTACCATTTGCATCTTTTCCTAGATTGCGAGGC